GCATGCGGCGTCGGGAGCGAAACCGTTTCCGGCGTATGAAGCGAGTCAAAGCTCGGCGTCGGAAGCGAGGTGCCAACCCGATAATTAGGGCATATGTTTGAACTGGCTTCTTTTCAATACTTTGTACCGCTACTTGGGTTGTGCAGCCTAATTTCTACAATGATGTTGAAAACCTGTTATATACCTGTTCAAGTACATTCTTTCCCAGATATTCTGGGGTTTGGAGCGAAAGTCGGACCTTCACGAAACATAAACTAGTCAGCTGACAGTGCAGTGCTGGACAACGAAATCAAACGTGTCAAACAGGCAGGAAGAACCATTCAGCACCAGCCACTGCTCCAAGCGAGAGGGTGACGTATGTGCCAAAGATCATAGCGCCCACAATGCCCGCAACAAGAACCTTGGACACGACTGGTGGAAGTTTGATACGTTTTGGAAAAGCTCTAAAGGGAAACAAAACCGAAACATACGTAGAAGTAGCATGGTTGTCATGAAGTGTCCTTCTAAAACTTGTCATGCCAACCATTTGAAAGCAATGCCTTAGAAACTGAGACTGGGACTGCTTAAACAAAACGCCGTGGTTGTCCAAAATCATCATGTATTGGTCCAAGGCAATACAACAAATCATGCACAACCCGCACAATGCCAGTTCCCTTCCTGAGAGGTGCTTCAAATTTCTAAAAGACTTTCCAAAAAGAAAACTCACAAAAACAAAAAAAACTAATGAAAATGAACCAGAATCTGGCAAGAAAGTTTCAGCAGAAACATTTGTTGAATGTAATGTACTTCTTTCTGCCCCGATTTCTAAGTCACAGTCTACACTCAAAGTAAAATGTTCTACTCGCAAGCCAATCATACATCCTTTCACCAGTCATTTTCCAGCGTCCAGGCAACAACCACATCAAATTTGACCTAAGGTCCGCGCATTCATGTTTTGCCTGCACAAATCGTCAACATGTGTAAAACTACTTCTGCACTTTCCCAACAAAAAAAATGTGCCTTTGATTCTGCCAAAGCCGGTCAAGAACACCTGTCCCAGCGCAGTGAACGTATTCAGACTAAACCAATGTCATTCCATAGCATGCCATCACTTGTCAAAGAAAAACAAAGTTGCTGCCTTGGGAACCGGAAATGACAGCTGTAGATCCTGCGAGACACTGAGTCTAGTTACTAGTTGTTTGTTCTCCGATGTCTACAGTAACTCAAGTGCTTGCTGAAATGATCTGAAAGCTGCAGCAAGCTGAGTCAGTAAACCTTGGCGTTCAGGCTGTTCTTCTGCCTGCTAAACAACTATCGATTGGACATGCAGAAGGCACATCGAAAAAAAAATAATTTTCAAATGGAGCAATGGCCTTTGCTATCACTTCCGACCTCAAGGTATGGCACAGCCCAGCCGAGAGAAAACGACTTGACACCCAAGATTGAGAGTTCCACCGCTTCTTGATGTGCCGACGACTCCCCTCGACACAGTTGTGTCACATTGTGCGACTTCCATCCAATCACAGTTTCAGAATGGTCACGTCTGCATAGGCCGTGGCTTCAGTGGCTTGAGAGCCCTACTAAGTTGCACCCGGCCATGGCTGAGGCAGTCCCCGCTGCAGCAAGCCGGCCATTGCCTTTGAACAAAAGTTGAGGCGCAAACTCACAGCAGGGCATTGAATATCCTGGAGCATCTTTGAACCATATTTCAAAAAACAAAATCTTGTGTTGCACCTGAGGGCCATGTCCGTCGTCTATCTTTGGGCTCGACGGCAGTATGCACTTGAGAGATTGCCTACAAAACTCAAATGAGTCGTGGTATTAAAAAAATCATTTCTATGTCTAAAAAACAAACACAAACGCACCAAATATATCCAAATATCACCAAACGCCCCTGCCATATTGGCGGGCTGAGTGCATTTGCTGAACCTCGGTGAGGCAGCTGCATTGGATTGCACTGGCACAATCCTACGGCGTCTACGGGTAAGAAAAACCGAACTCTCTCTGTTGTCTGAGGCATTGACCTATCATGACGGCCACAAGCGACGCTCAGCTGCCTTCACACAGATGGTTTGAAAGTTTTGCCCAAAACATATGGCAAAATGATCAATATGGTTGTAAAATTCAGGATTTGGGAGCAGCACAAAGCCCCAATTCATTTGTTTAACGCTAACAAAACATACCATTCCAATGCTGGGCATTGAACCGCTTTCGGACTGGAGCTTTCCAACAAACCTCATCACCATAGTTCAGTGAGATTCAATGATTGCAATTGAGGTAGCAATGTCGTACATGTTTCAGCCAAACCCTACCATTCAAAGAAAGAACGTTACCAGTTGAAAGTGGTCAGCAACGGTTATCCAGCCTGGCTGGGTGGCAAAGTTACGCCCATGGGCTGAAACAACCCGTAGTTTGAAACATTTCTTGTGACCAGCCACAAATCACTCATCTACTCGGACTATATACATGTTGTTCAGACAAGAACTGCCAAATGCTGAGGTGCTGAACAAAAAGTTGTCATGTAGAGAGAGAAAGAGAGAGAGAGAGAGAGAGAGATGCCGCCAGAGAATTCAATAAGTTCCTGCGAAAACCGATTTCATTGTTTGCACAATATCAGTTGGGGTTCACGTGATTCGGCAAACCAAGCTTCCAGAGCCAAAATCAAAAGCAGCTGTTGGTTCTGATCATGAATCATATGTGATGTGTTTACATATCCACCTGAACGCGGGAACAAATTTCACAATTCTGGCACACTCAATGTGACAATGAACCATTGTGCACTTGATGGGAAAAAACTGACGTGTCAAGATTTAAACCCTGCCTGGGGGTAGGCCCCCGGGACTGCTGACACATGCATCGACAATTTGGGTGCCCTGCAGCAATGCCTGACAAACACTGGTTGAAACCGATTGAACAAGTTTCCATCACATCTGCAATCACGACAGTCAAACAAAAAACCGCAACTGAGGAATAGGCCGGGACACTTCACATTTATTCTATCACGCCTGTCTTGAACGAAAATGGCAACGCGGTGCGTCTTTGCGTTGGCGACATGTTTCCATCGTCAAGATTCCCAATCATATGTTTTCATGCGAATGTGTGCCACGCACACCGCGTCAGCAAATGGTTCTTAGTAATTTTCACACATGGGTCCTGGCACCGTTGACATTTGCAAACACAAATCGGTAATAAAGGAAAAACATAAAATATCAATTGGAGAAATCCATGTTAATTTTCGCAAGAATGTTTTTTTGGCATGTTTGTCATCTAATGTCAATTTCAATATTCGTTTTTTGTTCCAATTTTATTCAGCACAGATGGCAAATTAACCAAACAACACAACCCGGAATGCAAAAACACAAATTATATCCCGCAAAACACCACGCCCCACCGCATTACCTGTAAAATTTGTTCTAGATGAAAATTAATGAAAACAACATGAAACATAATTAAAGAAATCAACATCAAAGCACCTTCCGCCCTGCATAATTTTCAACTACAATTGTGTCCACTGTTTTGCTGGCACGCAAAGTGCGATTCCCAAACTGCATCAGGTCAGACGATGTCAGCATTGGAGGTGCAAAAAATGCAAAAATCCCAATCAAACAAAAGGCAACATCAATCAAATAAATGTTGTGACGTGTGACGTGTGACGTGTGACGTGCCGCGCGCCCATATGCACACGCTTGGTGGGCAATCACAAAACATCCGGAATTAGTTTTTTCCACTTGGTGAAAAAATTGTTTTCGGTTTGAAAGATTAAACGTGCGTCAAAATTCTGACAAAAAATTCGGGTTCCCATTGAAACCGCACCCATGATCCAAAATGTTGTTTGTTTGTTTTTTTCCTGCAACAAACACATTGTTTACTTTCCCCAGGGTGTGAGCACCAATCACTTGCATTTTCGCAGCATCAACTTCCCAGGTTGCACGATCAATAAATGCGAACGCAATGGCAGCGGCGGGTTTTTTCGCTTGATCCTCGGGGCCTGTGTCATAGCACGCATTTGCATGTGAATGTCCATGAAGAATCCACGCGATCTCATGTTAATGCGTGGCGTTTCCAACTGCCTTTGTCCCACTGAAAGTTTTCCTTGTGCAGGGGCCATGCATGGAATGGGCATGAGCACAAATGCTTCGAACTCCTCCGCAGTGCTGTGGAGTCTGGACTCACTGCACTGTTTCCACAGCCAGTGCACATTCAACGATCACCCACCATTTGAAATTCCTTCAGCCATTAAAAGAGACAAATTGCATTTTGTTAGAAGGGGGTCGCCACTATTCCCCTGGGGCCCTGAAGTTGTCCAATCGTTGTGGACACTGCACGCAAAAAAAATTATATGCCATCTCTCGGAGCAGGTTTGCAGATTCACGGTATCCAAACAGCTGCTTCTTGTACCGAATTCAGATTTGAGTGCTGCAGCTACCAAACTGCCGCAGTTCAACTGAAAACTCATCAAATGCAGATCTGAGTACACCCCATGAAAGGACTCGCAGCCAGGCTCTTCGGCATAACCACAATATACCAAAAGTCCATCCTTATGCAAAAACACGTACATCCCACCATAGATGTCACGGCGTCCCAGTCAAAACATAGTTTCACGCCCCCTTTCGACGTGGCATCTGTGGTGCAATCACTCTTCAAAAAAGATTGCGATCTCCCAAGGCGTTCTGCTGAGCAACCCAAGGCGATGACATCCGTCATCTATCAGAAGACATAGCAGACATAGCGGCACTGCTGTATTGGTAGATCTCTTCAGGATACAAAGGTTCGTTCATATCCCTTCTTGGGTTGGTAGTTCGTAGCTTGCAAGTACATTGCGAGATCAACAGCCTGTGTCGGCGGTTCCTTACATGCTTGCTCAACCACGATAACTTCCCTAAGGCAGAACGGAACCTACTGTAGGTTTCAGGGGTAAGTTCCTTGCCTTCCTGGTCCACCATGGAAGTGATATCTGGCGCACTACGACTACCAGCCTTCAAACCAAAAGACTGAAAAGTGGTTTTCAAATAATCCTCTGGTAACCCCAAAAAGATAGCTTTGTCACCCCTTTGCCGGAAGATCTGTCGCTCCAAAAACTTCAGCTGGCCTCCTCCCCCTTTCGAGGATTGCACCAAACCAGTCTTCTTAAGGACAACTTTCTTTCCAATCACTGACAAAACTTCTTCAATGTCTTTCTCCGTTTCAGAAGCAATCAAAATGTCATCAACGTGTGATTAAAGATGTAGCGCGAAACCAAGACACCGCTAGAAGCTTGGGCATTTATTTCGAGCCCAACGCCGTCTTCGGACGCCCTTCAGGTGTTATTGGGTGTAGCTGGATGCTTGGATTTGGTCCTTGGTGCGGCCGATGTTACCGCCGCCTTCATGGCTACTCCTTTGAGAAAGAGAGACGTCATTGCGAAACTGCTATTGTCTGTGAGCGCACCCTACCCCCTTTGTCGGTGGTGACCCACCTTGTTGGGATAATGCGGCAACCCTTGTCCAATCCCTTGGACTGCAGTTCCTCAAATGGGTACACATCACCAGTGCCTAGATCAGACAAATTCTGGATCTCTCTTCTCATCCCTAACAGAGTACTTTCTCCTGACAATTCTTTCAAAGTGGTATCATCAACAGAAGATTCAGGTTCCCAAATTCGGATATGGAAGTTCCCAAAAGGCACTACAACACTTGTGGCGTTTGTGGCAAACTTGATGGAGAAAAGAGGCAAATCCCTAACCGGTTCATCAGAGTCTGTCGCCTTGAATGCCAAATCCGCAACATCCTGCAACAGTGCTGAAATCCTCGGCTTGGATCGCTCAACCTCATCCGCAATCTCCTTCTCAAGTTCTTGCAGAGGCTGTTCCGACTCCTGACAAGCTCCACCGATGGTGAGCTACTCGCCTCAAAGGCCTTCTTGCACGAAGCACTGTGTCGAATCCCTGGAGCATTCATGCCAGACTCACACCCTGGGCAACGCCGGGTGTATCGCACCTTCTTGGATGGCGGTTCAAGCCCAGCTGCAGTGGACTCCCTCTTCTGCTCAGGACTGGAAACAGAATCGTCCATCCCCAAAATGTCAACAGCATCATCCCCAAAAGGCCTATAGGAACTAGAGGTGTTGACAGGAACCACTTCTAATTTGCCAGGCAGATTAGGCTTGAACTCGTCAAGATCAGGTTCAGTCGTCTTTTTCTTCTTGCGGAGCATTCTTTATACCCAAATCAGGAACCTTTTCGGGCGTTTTCGGAAGTTGTTCAATGGCCTGTGCCTTCATGCAATCCCAATACTGTTCACAACAACCCTTCGAGTGATTCTTCCCCTTACGAGTCCCATTCAATTCAATGGATCTACATGCCCCACAATCTGGTGTAATCCCACGTTCTTCAATCCACTTCAAAAGCGGTCCTGCCGCAGACTTGGACAAATCTTGCCCTTCTGGTAGCATGTTCACAGGTTCAGATTCTGCTGGACCTACTGGTAACCCTGATCTCTCATCCACCAAAGGCACAAACAGTCCAACATCGTTCACAACCGTGATCGGAAGGCAGAGCTTCAGACTCTTAGCTACGAAAACCCTCCTAATCATTTCAGCTCCAACCGTGATCCTGGCAGCAACAATACTCCCCATAGAGTTGAATTGCAGGTGCAAAAATGAACTTGGATATTGCTGGCACGAAGTGAATCAGGAATCTCAGCTAACACCTTGGATCCAAACAGAGCGAACGAGTCTGTCTTTACGCGTTCCCCTAAGGCGATCTCACGCGGACTACGCTTGGAATCTTGAACCACAGCAAGGTTGTTGTGCGCAAAACAGGCATAGTTCAAGGCATTGTGGAGGAACACTGGCTCAAAGGCTAGTCCCAAACGAAATCCAACATTCTTTTTTCCCGTCCATCGCCTCTTGGCTTTCGCGAGGTCGATCAACACGCTGAAATGCAATAACCGTAACTATTGGGCCGTGATACAAAAGCCAACACGGCGCATCCATGGACCCAACAGTGAAAAGGCTGACCAGGACAGGCTTCGCAGTCCTGGGGTAGTCACAGTGCCGAAAACCAGGAAACAAAACAAAGACACTCTCGTGATCCAACATCAGTGTCTTCAGAGACTCTTTCACCGTCCTCACTGCACGCTCAGCGTATCCTGCTGACTCGTGACTTTGAGGTGCGGCCTTTCTCACTTCGAAAGTGAAGCGACTGTCATCCGGCAATCAAGTTGCCCACGGCTACCTCTGCATCCGCAATGATTTTTTTTTCCGTCCATCGCCTCTTAGCTTTCGCCAGGTCGATCAACACACTAGTGCTACAAAAGCCAACACGGCGCATCAATAATCATGAATGGGCCCAACAGTGAAAGCTGGCGTAAGGACAGGCTTCACAGTCCCGGATGGTAGCGAAAAAACAGGACACAAAACAAGACAAAAAGCAAAAACAGAAAAAGCAAACAAACCAAACAACAAACAAAACCCACAAAGCGCAAAACATTTTTTTTCCGTCCAACGCCTTCATGGCTTCCGCCAGGTCGTTCAACACGCTCTATGGCATTGCAAAAGCATTAATTTCCAAATTAACACGCGAGGCCGTCTGCTGATTGAGGGCCACAAAAGAGAACTGGTGAAGGACCTGTACATAGTCCAAGAAGCCGTCATCTTCAACAACAAACCAAACAAAGCAAAAACAAACCACCAAAACAAAACAAAAACCAACCCACAAAAGAGGAATGACTGGCTACCAGTTCATTGGCAGATTCATGCAAGAGGTGACAACATTGTGTCGCCACATCATGGTATGGCCGCAAACATAAAAAAGGGGAGAACACCAACAAACACAAGGCCATACCCGCAGGTGAGAGAAGCAACACAGCACCATGCGGAAACCAGGGATCCCCCCAGCCAGGATCCCCGAGATCACAAGGCGCAAGCAGAAAAGGTATAACGACTCACCTGTAGTCACTTCGAAGCAAACAACGACAACGCCGCGTCGCAACGAGAGTGGTGAAAAGAAGAGTGAGACGGACGGTGA